CTCCTTTAATCTGTATGAAATTGCATTGTGACTGCTGATTGCATGCAGATTAGTGTCAATGTGTGGAAGGTACTGTATGTGCCAGGCAGGGATCTGTGTGTGCATGTTTGGTTTGCCTACTAAACCAGCCAGATGACTAAATTGTGTGTGAGCAGTGAGAAAAGTGATCAGACAAGGCTTCCAGCTCACAGTCCATAGAATGCACCAGACTCTATTCAAGACTTTTTTTTTTTTTAATCTGCCTCTGTGTCCAGCCAGCTACATCTGGGTGAGTCTCCCTCAAATGGTGCCTCATGGTATTAAAGGCTGTGACAATTGTTTCAAAAGCCCTCTCCTCATTCCTCCTCCACCAATCAAGGATCTCGTTCTGGTTAGCAAGTCGCTGTGGTTGCGATTCCTTGACACAGAAATCACAGGCAGGGGAGTGCAAGAAAGGGAAATGCACTTTTGGTCCCTGCAGTGCAGCAAACCTGCTACATTACCCTATGTAGACCAAGATTGCTTTGAAGTGGAGATCCAGTCAAAATGTGGGAGATCTTCCCCTGCACCATCCACAATATTCAAACCCAATAAAACAAAAATTGGCTACAGTGGTACCTAAAGTCGTGCCAACTGTATATCCACTACGAGGTCAGTTTGATCTGAAAACCCCAACTTACTGACACCCATGGGGTTACCAATCTTTAAATTGGATATAAACTACATGAAGCCCAATTGCCACCAATGTACATAATGAACATGTGTAATACTGTCCAGCCATATACCCAATGATCAATCATAACATAAACGGACATACATACAGAGACACAATGAGACATAAGAAATTGTTTTATTTGACAATAGGAAGAAAACCCTTTTAAAACACAGCACAGATCGGTAGGGTGTATATAAGGGGTAGCCATATAGGTGAAGGGAGGTGTGTGCAAAGCAGTGTGTAGTGTGGGACACAGTCAGAGGGAATTGTATTGCACATGAAACTTGCATTTGCCACACCTTTGAGGCTTACCGTAAAGGGCCATCACACAACCACCCTTCCAAATAGTAATTACTTCTATATCCTCTAAGAGGAACCTCGGCTGAAGACTAAGGACTTCTTAGAAAAGAAAATGTGCCACAACAAAAGTTAAGAGCCCAAAATGCATTCATGCCTCTATATAAATAAGAAAAAAATAAAGCCCATGTGTTTCGGGGTACTAGGGGCATTCCTGTAGCTTTAATGAAGGAGGGCTCCTAGAATGCGTGACTGGTCTTTTCCAATATATATAGAAAAATAAACCCATTGGACTCTCAAGTTCTGGCGTGACACCCTCTCTCTTCCAAACACTCACAGGGTTATTCACAAAAGGGTGAAGGAGAAGTGAATAATCTAGGACAACATAGCTGAACCTAGATTGTTCACTTCTCCGGCCTTCTCCAAACTCTTCACCCTTTTGTCAATAGTCCTGTCAGTGATTTTTATAATGAACAACTCTATGGGCAATTTACTTTTCAGGGGTAACCTACACTGATCAATAGCCGAAAGCTGCTTTCATGACAAAATGTCCTTTACCAAGAGGGTGGCCATCTTACTTCTCAGGACCAAGACAGTTAAAAACAGATGGATGCATGTGCTCTTCTCTTTCACGTCTTCATACACAGACATACATAAATACTGATCTGTAAACCACGTTACAAATAAAATGACTTCTTATCTGTTCCTTATACCCATAACTGTCAGTTTATTAGGAAGTGATCTCTCAGTCTTCAAGTGAACACATCTTCATGAATATCGTCTCAGAGCACAATGGCTGCCTATGACTGCTCATGAATGATGGATAGAAGGGGGGGGGGGGAAAAGGGG